GATTTCAGGGAGTGTGTATAGGGATAGGGATCGGGATCGTAGGGGCATCTGAGAATTCTGCCTGGTTAAACGTGCCTTCTCTGTGCAGGATATAGACAACGTTTCTCATGCCTTTAACATTCCCTGCTACTCAGGGACACTTTGGAGGACCAGAGCAGCCCAGGCACCACCATTCGGGGCTTTCTTGGGTTTTAACACCTCAGCGCAGCTGTTATGAGGAAGTTGGGGTTCCTTTTATGGAGTCTCAGTCTTGTTAATACATGAGTTCAGAAAGAAGCTCTAGGACTGTTGTGCCCAAATTCTGGACCCCCAAATCACCAAGAGGCCCATTTCGATACAAAAGCAAAGAGTCTTTTATTGTAGATGTTTAACGAGCTAACCCCATTAGCTCAGGTCCTTCACCCTGCCACCATGGCGAATGGCTGGAGAAAGACCCTAAGCAACCTCGAGGCAGGAATCTTAAAGGGCAGCATAAGGGGAGTGTCTAGGGGCATGAAACAGTATCAGGACTGGTGTGCTTCCAGGTTTGGGTGACCTGCCCTGTGTTGATTGGTCCATTGGTTGTTATGGCCCATAGGCCCTCCCAGGGTGGTTGCTATGCTCTGCACGTCACTGTTGTGCACTTGTCCAAAAAGCACACCCAGAGCCATAAAGCACAGCCCTGCCAGTTAACTTCTGATTGGTTCCTTGCCATAAGGGCATCTGACCTTAGTGACCAGGACAGGAGCGGCAAGGTCATACAAGCACATGTTAGCCTGTAATGGCTGCTAAAATGGGGGACTGGTCACTACAGGACCATTTTATTAGAGTTTCAAAGAAAACCTGTAGACCAAGTAAGCTGAAGGGATGGATAAGAGGAAGCGAGATAGCCATGTCATTTAAGTCAAAGTTCAAGAGAGCAGCAGGCAGGCTCAGTCACAGCGATTGATAGCTGCTCTGTGATAGATGTGAGAGGAGCTTTGGGTGCCCTAAGTGTCAGGGATTGTGCATTCAGAGTCTCGGCTGGCATCCAAATAAATCATATAGAAAGGAGGGGAAGGAAAGGCTACTCTTTTTAGTAAAGTGGGCAGGCTTAGCAGTACCTCATGGCCAAAGCTTTGAAAAAAGAGTTCTTTTTTTAATTTTATGTGCATGGGTATTTTGCCTGCATGTATGTCTGTGTGCTATGTTCAGGCAAGGCCCACAGAGGTCAGAAGAGGGCATTAGATTCCCTGGAACTGGAGTTATGACAGTTGTGAGCTGTCATGTGGGTGCTGGGAATTGAACCTAGGTCCTCTGGAAGAGCAGCCAGTGCTGTTGTTGGTTGCAGGGTTTGTAACTGAGTGGTGCTGATGGCTACTTTTCTCCTCGGGTAGCATGCAAAGTGCCTTCCAACACCATGAACTCCAGTCAGTAGGAAGTGAATCTTCTAGATGGGCCCCAGCCCATCATGTTTGGCATAAGTTAAGTGTTGTCTTCAGCAATGGACCTTACCATCAGGTTATGGGAAGTAACCGTAGTCTGTGATGTTTTGTAGGGGACTCCATGGAAACCCCTTGGCCAATGACTCATTGTTAATGTTTTTTGTCATTTTTTTTTTCCTTTTTGAGACAGGGTCAATTTACACAGCTCTGGCTGTCATGTAATTCACTATGTAGACCAGGCTGTCCTAAAACTCAGAAATCTGCCTCCCTCTACTTGCCAAGTGCTGGAATTAAAGGTGTGTGCTGCCATGCCCAGCCTCAACATTAACTCTTAAAGGAGGAGATAATAGTATGTAATGTTCTAATCTTTACTGCAGATCAAAACCACTAGTGAACTTCAGATTTTTTTTTTTAACTAGAAGGAAATTGTGGCCATTTAATGGGCTTAAATAAAGCTCTGAAACACCCACCCTTTCTTCCGGTATTCTAAATATTAAACAGAGGCACAGCCGATGCTTTCCTTGCCTCCATCAATGGTCTCCAGTGCTGTCAAACCTTGTCTAAATACCTAGCATGCTCATTGGACTTCTCCAGCACACTACCCAGATACCTCACTAAGGACATGTCCTCTTCTGTGCCTCTTCCTCTAATGTCCTTTATCACATGTCCCAAATCCCAGGGCATGCGGACGGTAACCCAGCACACGTGAGAGAAGGAAAGGAGAAATGCAGGAAAAGGCTTGTGATTCTCATGTCCATAATTGGGAAACTTAGTCTAAGATGAAAACTGGCAGCCCAGTGCTCTGTCCAGAAAGGGCTACCAAGTCTGAGTACTGCTCTTATCAGACTGCCATACAGGGATGCCTGGACCCCTAGCATCCCAGACCTCCCCGCATTCCAGAGATTTCTGCACTGTGCTGGGTGTCTGGGGGGAACCCTTTGAACCAAAGTCTATTTAATGAGTGTCAGTTTCACTCACGCGCAGTCTCTGATATAGCTCCTTTGATGTGGCCTCTTTTGAGTCTCCTCACTTGTGACTCGTATCAAAAGCACCAACCCTCTTTGCTGGCCTCGAAGCTGTCTTTGCAGAGATATTTCATCATGCCCATCCACAGGCACAAGGGTCAGCCTGAAGATAAGGGCAGAAACAGGGTGGCCAGGGTTTGCTCAAGCGCGAGCCTTGAAGAGAGCAGCTGGGACACTCAGCTTGACGCTAGGAGGCCTGTGCCTTCCTCCCTGCCTCTCCACTACCCACAGTTCTGTACACAGCTTGGGCACAAAGGGACAGTGCTAAGATGGAAGGCGCAGGCAGGCTGGACCTACGTTTTACCTTCTACCCTGCTCTGTGTCAGGCTCCCAGTTCAGGGGCTGGATTGTAGCAGTTCCTCAGTTAATACCCACCAAATGGATGTGTGAGTGGTTGAATTGATCCTAGCACCTGATTTTAAAAGTCTACCTATATTGTCCCTGAAAATCTGTTTGAGCTGATGGACACACAAGCATTGGAGGCCAGGATTTTCTGGGATGAGCCTGCCCTTAACTTCTAAAGAGATCTGGGTAATAATGGCTCCATGATCAAGGAGCCTAATGCCCATACTGCAGACACCACCCAGGCTTTAGGTGTTTGATTTCCAGATGTTTTTCTCTGTGTGTGTTTAAAATTTGGGAAAACTGAGCACCGCACTGCATTTAAATTCAAGGGAGGAGAGATTATAAATACATACAGCACCAAGCTTAATGACAGAGATTGAAGAGTCTGAAGAAAACACACCATTAGGTGATTTTGTAGAACTTGTTTATACAAATTAAGATGGCCAAGTGCAGGCTATATTACTATTTGACATTGTCTTGGGGGACTAGAGTTATACATGCAGTTTGTCGTTAATCATAGCACAATTATGTGGCATGGGACTATATTTTCCTTATATTTGTATCATGTATCCTTTGTAAGGGTTCCCTACAATGGCCGGCAAACAGGAAAGGCGAGAACAGTAGCTGAGATACATAGCATAAGAAACGGAAGCTGACACAGGTAGAACTCTTTTTCTGTGGCCCAAAGAGCAAGTCTGCTGTATGCTGAGCTCACCTCCAAGTCCTAGCCTGTGTGTTGGTAGCCGTTACCAAATGTCTAAAGGAAGCAACGTGAAGGAGGAAAGGTGAGTTCGGCTCGGGCTTGAAGGGATAGCCCATCACAGTTGAGAAGGCACAGCTGCACAAGCGTCTGGAAGCACTGGCAGTGAGAACTTGCTCACATCTGGGCAGACCAGGAACTGGAGAAAGGGGAGGGACTTCCAAAGCTCATCTGCTTCTCCTTCCGGTTTATGATTCAGTCTGGAACTCCAGGCCATGGGGTAGGGCTGCCTACATTCAGGGTGAGTCTTCCCTCTTCAGGTTTACCTCCCTGAAGACACCCACAGACAAGCCCAGAACTGTGTCTCACCTGTGGGATTCTTAACTCAACCGAGCAGACTACAGAACTCAGCCATCACACGCTGGGTGACACAAGGAATACCTTAGGCATGTGTATGGCTCTTAAATAAAAAATATGCAGCCTTCTCCTAAAGTACAACCTTTTCAGACTTGAGCAGAGGTGTCCTAGAAGATATCATCTTGTTTCTAATACATCACAGGGCCCTCTCCTAAGAAGGCATCAAGTGTGTTTAAAAATAGGGAAGAAACTGCAGAAAATCAGCAGAGCAGAGGACGGAAAACACTTCCCAAGTGCACTGGCCAGTACTCATTTTCATGCCCTGCCTTAGCCCTGCTCGGCATGTGCGGCTGGGAGAACTCACTAAGGCCCTTCAGTTAGAAGCCAATGTAGGCTACCACAGCTGAGTGGCTGGGAGTGCAGGGGCTTCAAGGTCGCCAGCACACTTCACCACCTCTAGGAATCTCTGGTCCGATTTTTGGTACAAAGTCTCACCAAGGGGGCAGAACAAAGTCCTACACAACACTCCGGCCCACGCTTTTCCCTTTTTACTTCATTTATCTTTGTAACTACCACGTGTGAGAGCAGGGAGCAGGTGACTGCACAGAGTGGGTGTCTGAGACAAATGGCCCTTCAGATGGGTGACTCTTCAATATGACATTTCCAAGGTTGCCTTGGAATTGCTGCAGCCACCCAGGTAGCAAACAGAAAGATATGCTGTCATAATATTTCTCAAGCTGGCCAATATTAGTTAGTAATGGTGTTAGTACTTAGGCATTTGTACTGCCCTGCCTTTGGGGTTCTGGCAGGATACACCCTCAGCTGCTGCCGCTAAGAGCACCACCTGTGCCTATTCACTATGTTCCCTTTTAAAAGGGCCCTGCCCACCTCCCATCCCTCCCACCCCTCTTTCCTCTCTCCCTCTGCTCCTGTCCCCAGAGGCCAGTCTCTTCCCTCCTCTTCCCCCTTTTTATGATCCCATTCCCCTAATAAAACCCCTGCACATGAACTCTGTCATACAGCATCTTTCTCTCTCGTGCCACCTTTAAAAATTACAACAAACGGGACAGTTGGTTCAGTGGTCGATGTCACTGGCATTTTGCTCTTGTCCCCACTCGTCTCCATAGTCTTGTGATCTCTGCCAAAAGAATTCAGATAAGACATAGAGAGTATAGTTAGAAGACGGAGTTTATTTCAGAGTAACATGGGAAACCCCCAAGGGGTGAGAACGAGCAATGAGCAAAGAGAACCTTGTGTCAGTTTGCATTTTAGATAGACCACACTATTTCTAGTGGCCCCGAAACAGATAGCTGTTCCGGTTTCATCTCCTTTGCTTGGATAAAATACCCTGACCAAAAGCAACTTGTGAGAGGAAAGGGTTCATTTGGCTTGTAACTTCCATCATTGAGGGAAGTCAGGGCAGGAATAACCAGGGGCAGGAACTTGATTGCTAGCGCACTCTCTGACTTGCTCCCTGGCTCATGTCCCTCTAGCTTTCTTACACAGCTCAGACCCACCTGCCTAGGGACAGCGCCTCTCACAGTGGGCTCTGCTCTGCTGTATCAGTCATCAGTCAAGACAATCTCTCACAGACATGGACACAAGCCAGTCTGATGTAGGCAGTCTCTGAATTGAGAGATTGTGTCAAGTAGACCACTGAAGCTAATTAGGACAACAGCTTTCCCAAGGGGTGTTTTCCTGTCCAGATGATTGATGGCCAATTTGACTGACACAGAGTTGGCATTAGTATGTGTGGAATGCATGCTGCTGACCTGGAACCAGCTTTAAATAGTTATAAACGAATGTCCTTAGGCAGTTCAGGATGTCCCATCGAAGAACCAGATTTGACTCAGGTCCCTCTCCTCTGTCCTGGGCTTCCCAGGATGTCGATTATAAAGAAAGACTCCAGTCCTCATGTCCACCAAGCCTGCTACTTTCTAATTGGCCACCTGACCATTTTTAGAACACTCACCAGAATGTTTCCCAGGAGTTTCATAAAGTCCCCAAACTAGTGTTAGGGGACTTCCCACAAGGAACTGCCCCCAACTGGATTCCGAAGAGAGACATACAAAACCCCAGGGTGAACAATCCAGAGTGTGTGCTTGGATTTAAGCCTGCAAGAGAACAAATTTACTAGACTGGACCACAGAGTGGTTAAGACACTTTGTTTCTCAGTCAGTGCAACAAAGAAAATAGAAACCTAGGAAAATTATGCACCGGGAAAGAGTATTCTTGTGAAACCCAGGAAAGCTTATTTATGAAGAAAGCCCTAAGGTGTATGCCAGGGTGAGAGCTCAAAGAAAATTGTGTCAGTAGCAATCTGTTACCCAAGGCTGGAGCCATAGAATATCCTGTTGTCAGGGTTAAGCATCTGGGGTACAGCAAGAAAAAAATCCGATTCCAAACCAAAATTGACCACATGCTGCTCCAAGCATTATTTCCTTAACTGAAAGATGGAAAGATTAGCCCAACACAGCAGCATACCCCAGCAACGCCAGACACAGCCCCAACAGGAAGACCAGGGTTTAAGGCTAGCCTGGGCTACATAGTAGCTTCCCTACCAACCAGAGACTATCTCAAAAACAAAGAATAAGCAAACAAAAAGTTTACCAACAACAAAAGAAAAATCGACAGATTATATATAACCACCTCATCACTTGTGATAACAAGCAAATGGAGGAGCATTTCTCAGCTCAACTTCCACCCGAGTGAGCTGTTCTCAGCAATCCGGGGTGGGGGGGGAGGTCACAGTCTCCTATCTTCATCAGAGTCTCGAAGCATTTTCAATGAGCTAGAGCAGACTAGCAGGACGGCAAGGGATGGAATATTGCAGGTGTCCACGTCTCTTTGAAGTGTGGCTTGCCCTCTAAAAGCAGTCCTTTTGAAAGCCTCGGGCCACAAACATTCCATCCATCTCAATTTCTCAGGGCTAACTAGATCAGATATTTCAAGGGTGCATCTACACAATGGTTTGTCATTGTAATAAGTGCTCAGACAGCCAGAGTCCCCATTCAGACAGGAGGAGCGGCCACTCAGTGAAACAGACATAGGCTGGCTTGTCCTTTCTATCAGCTGCTAAGGATCCCCAAGGAAAAAGAAGAAAGGAGGCAGAGGCCTTTAGAGCCCATAGGCTTGGGACCAGGAGGACAGGAACTCCAACATCAGCCTTCATAGCCTCTTCTGCTTTCTTATTTGTCTTTCCAGTCTTCGTGCAGCAGTGCCTTTGAACCAGTGTGTGTCAGCCGAGCTATCCTGTTTTTGTGTTTGGAGTATAGCAAGGAATAAATAAACACAAACCCCTGCACTTGAGGACCTTGTATCCTAACAAAATATTAGAAACCCATAAGAGAGGGGGCAGAGAAATTGCTCAGTGGTTAAGAGGACTTTCTGCTCTTGCCGGGGGCCTTGGCTCAGTTACACCACCCACATGGCAGCTCACAACTGTCTGTAACTCCATTCCCAAGGGATCTGATGCCTTCTCTGGCTCTATAGGCACCAGGAATGCACATGGTACGTATATACACACAGGCAAAACACGCACACATACTTTTAAAAGCAAAATATTTTTTAAAAGAAAGAAATGCACTCTATACACACTATATAATGGGAATTGCAGTCACTATTGTGTTAATCCATGAAACATAATAGGCATTTAATAAACTGTGGCAATTATTATTCAAATTTCTCTCATATTTCTCCAAATACCTTTAAACACTTCATGTGCAATTGACCCCCAGTTTTATTCATTCGACAAACCAAGCATGTGCCACATAGTAGACTCTTCAGTGCCACCAAAGATACAAAGAAATGCTGTAGGAGTACCTGGTCCCAGCCCTTGAGAATTTAATGGTCTGGGCCAATGTATACTAGAAGAGACACCCTTGAGAGCCCCCAGAAGGGAGTAGCACCCTGTTCCAGGTCTACTCATCCTAACAGGGCACTTCACTAATGATGGTGTCATTTTAATTCATTATATCTCAGCTATGGCTGGTGACTCTAGGAATGCTATGAACAAAGACATGGAGATAGGAGTCACTTCCCAGGACCACAAGAAGATTCCCAAGCAGGCACGGGATTACATCCCTATTGCCACAGACCGCACACGCCTGCTGGCAGAAGGCAAGAAGCCACGTCAGCGCTACATGGAGAAGAGCGGCAAATGCAATGTGCACCATGGCAATGTTCAGGAAACCTATCGCTACCTAAGTGACCTCTTCACCACTCTGGTGGACCTCAAATGGCGCTTCAACCTCCTGGTCTTCACCATGGTCTACACTGTCACATGGCTGTTCTTTGGCTTCATTTGGTGGCTCATCGCTTACGTCCGAGGTGATCTGGACCATGTGGGTGACCAAGAGTGGATTCCTTGTGTTGAAAACCTCAGCGGCTTTGTGTCTGCTTTCCTGTTCTCCATCGAGACAGAAACAACCATTGGGTATGGCTTCAGAGTCATCACGGAGAAGTGCCCGGAGGGGATCATACTCCTTCTGGTGCAGGCCATTCTGGGCTCTATTGTCAATGCCTTCATGGTGGGTTGCATGTTTGTGAAGATCAGCCAGCCAAAGAAGAGAGCGGAGACCCTCATGTTTTCCAACAATGCCGTCATCTCCATGCGGGATGAGAAGCTGTGCCTCATGTTCCGGGTGGGGGACCTCCGAAACTCCCACATCGTGGAGGCCTCCATCCGTGCCAAGCTTATCAAATCCCGGCAGACCAAAGAAGGGGAATTCATCCCCTTGAACCAGACCGACATTAATGTGGGCTTTGACACTGGTGACGACCGTCTCTTCCTGGTGTCCCCGCTCATCATCTCCCACGAGATCAATGAGAAGAGCCCTTTCTGGGAGATGTCACGTGCTCAGCTGGAACAGGAAGAATTTGAAGTTGTGGTCATCCTAGAAGGAATGGTAGAAGCAACAGGTAAGACATTTTGCCCTCCTTGGCCACCTGGTCCTCTTCCTGTGCCCTGGAGCACAGACCAGTGGGGCTCTAGAATGTATACATCTGTGTGTCAGAATCCCAAGATGACAGTAAGGACACCCTCTTCCATCCCCAGTGTGACCAAGCAGCAGTCACCCAAGATAGAACACTAACAATAGCTAACATGGCTGAACACTCCAACTTCTAGGCATTGTTCTAGGGTTTAAACATATATTACAACTGAGGCCCTTTCACACCTCCACAGGGAGAATCCATGGTTTAGAAGCAGAAGCAGGATGTGAGCAAGCTCCACCAAGGATCCCAGAGCCAGCCCTCATTTCCAATAGATCAAAATGCTTCCTCTCCTAAGACAGGCATGGGGTGACTGGGAAACCTGGGCTGACTATAGAGGGTGGTGTTTTAGAGTGAGACTTCTTGACCCTATCAGTCAGGGGTCCTCAACCTTCCTAATGCTGTGACCCTTTAATACAGTTCTTCATGTTCTGGTGACCCCCAACCGTAAAATCATTTCACTGCTACTAAATAATTGCATGCTTGTTATTTATGAATCACAGTCAGGATATCTTATATGCAGGATATCTGATATGAGACCCCTGTGGAGGTTGTAACCTATAGGTTGGTATACATGTTGTGGGCCTTATCATTGGGAGAGGATGGTGTTTTCTGTTTCTGTGATAGAATATCACCCAGAATATGACCTAAAGCAACTTGGAAAGGAAAGGTTTATTCATCTCCTAGGTCACAGTTCGTCACTGAGGGAACTCAGGACAGAAGTCCAGCAGGGGGAAATTAAAGCAGAAACCATGAAGGAAGGCTGCTAACTGGATACTCCCTCTTGATCGCTCCCCTTGCTTTCTTAAGCAGCACGGGCCTACCTGCTTAGGAATAGTGTCACCCACAGTGGGCTGGATCCTACCACAGCGATCGTCGATCAAAACAATTCCCCCACAGACATTCCCACAGGCTGATCTGATGGAGACAATTAAGAGTCCCTCTTCCCAGGTGATTCTGGTTTGTGTTAAGTTGACAATAAAAATTAAGCAGTGTAGACGCTACTTCACAGGCAGTCTTTCCTAAGTTCATAGGAATTCCTGCAAAGGCCTTTTTTCAAAACTCCACAAATAGTGTTTATGTGCTTCTCATCCCCTTTTACAGATATGGTGAACCTCAAGAGGGCCAGGAAGATGTTAAGCGTTCATACTTGGGGCTTTCTTTTACAAGTTTCCAGCCTTTTCTACACACCACACTGGTCCCTAAGATGTTAGGGGCTTGTTAAAGGTGGCCAAGCGTGCCTGTCATCCCTTGCGAATCTGGCTACTGCCTGGCAGACTCAGACAGCACGTCCTCAAGCCTTCCCATTTCCAAGTCAGAGTCAGGCAAGGTGATGGCAGGCCCTAGAGACTATGCCTAAGGCTGCCTGGCCATCTGCTGGGGGGCCGGAGCCTAGCCAGGAAGCATATGGTGGCAGCTGGAGGAGCCCCTTGGGCTGAGGACAGTCAGGAAGCAGGAAGCTGATTCGTGTAGATGGGGACTCTAGGGTCACTGTGTCCTTGGTAACAGGGTCAGGATAGAACACAGGATCACTTTCTGGGGAATGAACTCATCGCTGAGATCCTGAAAGGGGATCAGGCAAAGACAAGCCTCGTTGTCCCCGGCGATGCCCACACTGCCGCCAATGCCAACGTGTAGTAGGAGAGCACCCACAGACCCCCCAGCAGAGGGAGAGGAGGCTGACCCATTTGCCTGCTCCTCCTCCCCCATTTTCCCTGAAAGTCCTGTCCTATACTGTTGTGTACTAACTACCTGACTTCCTCTCCCATAACCTGTGCTAGCTAATCTTTGTCCTCTGTCTGTGGAGCCATGTGGGAGACTGAGACCACCTACTCACAATTGGCATGAGTTGTTTCATTGTCATACTCATGGAACCCAGCCTTGGCATGAATTCAGGCCTAGTTTGAGCAGCATAACTCTTCCACACCCTTCCTATGTCAGTCTGGGCAAGTTGCTTGACTAGTCTGCAAATGAGGAGAGTCAATCTCATGTGCTCGTAGGAAGACTAAAGGGCCAAATGGAATGCCACAGGTGACGCACAGAGAGGCTAGCCAGTGCCATTTCCCTAGAGGGTGACCAGGAAGACCAATGGGGGTCCCACAGGACTTCTGCAGGCACTTACGGGAGTCCTGTGCCAGGGTCTTTTCAGAGTCCCTGCGAGCCTGCAGGCACGGGGCCTAGAGCTAGACTGGTCAGTGTCCACTCTCTATCTCTACTGGGCTGATGGGTATACACCTAGGGTGACACCTGAATGGAGAGGCCTGGCTGGGGCAGGCATCACCCTGAGATCCACCATGCAAAGGATGCTTTGCGGGCCCAGGCACAGATAACAGGAAGCAGTTTTTGGCCTCACTCAGGTTTGTATGGCCCCTCTCCCGGAGAAGGCCTAGAGTGGGAACTGGAGTAGGTTCTCATTCAGTGCCTAAAGAGCACAAGCTAGTCCTTCCTTGGACAGAGACTAAATACAAATTTTCTTCTCTGTGACCCTAAGCACAGATGCTTCCTCATCCATAAACAAAACTGCCCTCCCTTTCTGGAGAGAAAGCAACACCTAAAAATAACACAGCCATGGCAGAGCTGCAGAGAGAGGGACTAGAGGCATTGGAGTATCCTCAGATCAGAAATCAGGCTGGGTGGTACTTTGCTTCTCCTTCCTGTGCACACATACATGTTTGTGTATGGATGCATGCACATGTATGCTAGCATGTATGTGTTCACGAGTGTGCAGTTTCTGTTTGTATGTCCACTTAGAACTATTTCCCTATGTTTTGAATGCCCGTCAGCAGCAATCTGGTCCCTCATTCTGAACTTACCTTGTTCAAACCCTTGTCCTGCCTCCTTTCCAGTTTCAACCTTCTAATCCTAAATGCTGCTTTCAAAACCTGTGTCCTTGTCTCTGACTATTTCATTTCCCCCTTTAGCATCTAGAAATGTATTCCAGAATCTTGCAAGTTGATTTGTTATTTTCTTCCCTCACTGTAGTGTGAGATCCTCCACAGCGAGGACCATCTCATATTCATCTTTATCATCCAGGTCCTTGGAACAAAGTCGATTTTCAAGAGGCACTTGTAAATGATTGGGTTAATGGATGGTTGGGTAGATGGATGACTGAAAGAATGAATGGTTGGATAGATGGGTGATTGCATGAATGGATGATTGGATAGAGGATTGGAGGAATGGATGGTTGGACAGATAGATGATTGGATAGATGGATGGTTGGAGGAATGGATAGTTAGATAGATAGGTAACTAGAGGAATGGATGATTAAATAAATAGATGATTGGAGGAATGGATGGTTGGATAGATGGATGGTAAAAGGAATGAATGGTTGAATAGAATGATGATTGGAGGAATGGGTGGTTTGACGGGTGAATGATTGGAGGAATGGATTGGATAGTGATTGGATGAATGGATGGCTGGATAGATGGATGGTTAGTTAGGTAGATGGATGGTTAGGTAGGTGGATGATTGGAGGAATGGATTGTGTCTTAGTTACTTTTCTATTGCTGTGAAGGAACATCATGATCAAGGCATCTCATAAAAAGCATTTAATTGGATTGCTTGCTTACAGTTTCAGGGGGTTAGTACATTTCCATCATGGCAGGAAGCATGGTGTCAGACAGGCCAGCAGGCAGTCATGGTGCTGGAGCAATAGCTGAGAATTTGCATCTTATCCACAGGTAGCAGGCAGAAAGAGAGACACAGACAGACAGACAGACAGACACACACACACACACACACACACACACACACACAGAGAGAGAGAGAGAGAGAGAGAGAGAGAGAGAGAGAGAGAGAGAGAGAGATGGCCTGACATAGCTTTTGAATCCCCAATTCCAACTCCCAGAAACGCAGCCCTCCAACAAGGCTAAACCTCCTACTCCTTCCTAAACAGTCTATTAACTAGGAGTCAAACATTCAAATATACAAGCCAATGGGGGGGGGCACATTCTCATTCAAGCCACCACAAATGGATGGATTATTTAATGACTGGAGGTGGGTTTGATTGAGCAGATAGACAGACAGTTAAAGGATGGATAGTTACATGAATGGATGGATGATGGAATAGATGACTGGATGGATAGATGGATGTGTGGGTGGATGGACAGATGGATAGACGGATCAATAAATGGGTGCATCTTAATGCATCTTAACACGTGGTCTCTTTCCTCAGGCATGACTTGCCAAGCACGAAGCTCTTACATGGATACAGAGGTGCTCTGGGGTCACCGATTCACACCCGTCCTCACCTTGGAAAAAGGCTTTTATGAAGTGGACTATAACACCTTCCACGATACCTATGAGACCAACACGCCCAGCTGCTGTGCCAAGGAGCTGGCAGAAATGAAGCGGAATGGTCGGCTCCTCCAGTACCTTCCCAGCCCTCCCTTGCTTGGAGGGTGTGCTGAGGCTGCGAGAGATGCTGAGGCTAAGCAGGATGAAGAGGATGAACCCAACAGACTGAGTGTATCCCAGGCAACCAGGGGCTCAATGTGAAGTCTGTGCTCTACCCAGAGCCTCTTCTTTCCAGACACCAAGGAGCCTGGGAGGCCAGAGAGGCCAATTAGTTGAGCAACCTTTGTGGGGCCCCAGGAGCATGGGAGCTCTCCGGAGAGGAACAGTGTATTGAACCCTCACATCTCCTCTTCAGGGCCTCAGAGCAAGTGGACTTGCCTAGCCCTCTTGGGCAATGCTTTCTAGGCCTCAGTGAGTGAGAGCATTAGCTAAGGCTGTAGCCAGGGTGGGCTTCCTAGAGAGAGTTCTAGGTTGCTATCTCCTCTCTCTCTCTCTCTCTCTCTCTCTCTCTCTCTCTCTCTCTCTCTCTCTCTCTCTCTCTCTCTCTCTCTCTCTCTCCCTCTTTTGCTCTCTTACCTATTCACTTCTCTCCCCAATTTTGTCTCCTCTAGGGACTGGCAGTATCACCCATGATTCTTACCATTGAGGCTTGTGGATTGAGGATGGATGCTCAGGCCCACATCCAGGGATTAATCCACAGAGACTTCACAAGCTGAAGTTACCCAAGTCAGGGAACAATGCCTTTTAGTATGAGGCCAAAACCACTCACTAATAACTGTTTTCAAGGCCCTTTGTTCACCTCTGTGACTCCCTAGTGCGTGTTTTTCTCTTCTATGTGTGGACACTACGGCTTACAGGGTAATTGAGTTTATTACAGTGACCCTGGGACACTGAGTACCTAGGAGCACACACGACGGTGTCCTCACAACTGCCCGGTTCTCCTAGTCATACTGTGCCTTGCACCTCAAAGGAGGAACCTAGAAGTTGTGCTCTTTGTAGGATTTTTTTGGTCTAAGAACTTCAAAGAACCAGGAATGTGGTCCTGAACATGTGAATTTCAGAGAGCCAGATGAGAACTAATTGGTACTAACGCAGGGATGTCAGCGAGGAAAGGGAAGCAGGGGTCATTTTAATATAAGCATTTGGAGCCTGATGTCCTGATGCATGCCTGTAATCTTAGCACTTGGCAGGCTGAGGCAGAATTGTGGACATGAGGCCAGTCTGGACTAGTAGCCTAGTCTCAAAAAAGCAAGAGACAAACTAACAAATGAGAAAACATCTGCCTCAGTTGCTGCATGGGGCTTAGGAGAAAAGAGGAATATGAAACAGAAGTGACAGGTGGCCAAGGCTGGACCAAAGTCTTAGGGAGGTACTGAGATGCCCCTGGACCTCCCTCCTCAGAACAGCCCCAGCAAGGTGCTGGGTATGCCTGAGAAAGGGGGTGAGAGAGTCGGTAGGATAACTAAGAAAGAAAAGAGCCCAAGAATAGAGAGGAGCTTTGAGGTCCACAGCCCCGCAGACTTCTCTCTTCCAGTCTGAGGACTGATGGTCAGGGCGAGGAGCCTGAAGTTGAAAAAGACAAGCTGGGCCTCGTCTTGGAAAGACATTGACATGCTCCTCCACATCTCTAGCCCAGTGCTCATAGTACTCTACCAGCCTTTGAAAGCAGAAGCACTTCCCTGCTGTGCCCCAGAGCCCTTTTCCTGGGATCTATAGGGAGAAGCTAAGGTAGCCAAGGGAATGGATTTCTGAACCTCAGGCCTCCCCCCCACCCAGATTGGGTTTCCAGGGTGCTAGGCTGGTGAGGAGAAAGTGGCCTGGGGTGAATAGTTACACTTGTAAGCTTCCCACATATAGAAGATAGGATCCTTTACTTGGCACCTGATCTAAACCTTGAGAGATGGTCTAAGCAGTGAGGTGTGTGTGTGTGTGTGTGTGTGTGTGTGTGTGTGTGTGTGTGTATGTGTGTGGTATGTGACTTGTGGTATATGTCTGTGGTGTAGGAATGGTGTGGGGATATGGAGGTGTGTGTATGGTGTGTGTGTGTGTGTGTGGTATGTGACTTGTGGTATGTGTGTATGGTGTAGGAATGGTGTGGGAATATGGAGGTGTGTGTGTGTATTTTGTGTGTGTGTGTGTGTGTGTGTGTGTGTGTGTGTGTGTGGTGGGGAGTTTGCCATTCCCACTCAGGAGAGAAAACCAGCAGGTCCACAGCACCCAGTAAGTAAGCTGCAATCTGGAGTCTAAGGAGGGAGCCCGCTGTTAAGACTGGATGTCTGTGGTAACAGGAGATACACAACCGCAATAAGAGACAGGCACTTGAGCTGGCTTTCCAGAACCCAGACATTCAAGGGCAGGACCAGTTCTGCTCCTTGGTAGGCTTTGAATCCTGTCTTGATTAGAACTAACTAGTACCTGCAGGTTAAGTCCCATGGTGATGGAGTAGGTAAGTATAAGAAGCATCAGGCAATGATTGTCTTATGGCTCGACAGTGGGCTGGCTCCTGTTGCACACTTGCCTTATTTGTGTATCTGAAACATCCTCCAACTGGCCAGGAAACAGCACTGGTCTGGGGAGTCAGGGCACTGGTGTGCCAAGGAGAAGCTGTACAAGCTATCAAAGAGAGAGTATGCTCCTTAAGGTCTCCTCGAGCCAGAGCTGATGTGTACTGGAATTAGGTAGATATTAATCTCATTCAGGTTTCTAGCACGGTAACCTAAATGTGAGGGGACTGCCCTTTATATCTCAAGGACATCTCCATCTCCATGGACAGTTGCTTTCTCTAAAGTTCTCCAAATTCTTCAAATCATTTTCTGGAAGTTCTTGACTAATAAATTTAAAACATGGGCTGATTATATAATGCCAAGTCTGATGCTGGCCGGTATCTAAATGGGTCACTTCTCCTACATGTAAGCCCTGTCAGTCATTATCCTCATTCCATCCCTGAGGGCCCACAAAGAACTGTGGCGGGGCTGAAGAAGAGGTCAACGGTAATTCCCACAGATCTCTGCTCCTTGAGTTTAGGAAGCTGACTTCCTGCCTTCACTACTGGGTCCTTCCTCTCTGGAGAAATCCCTTGCTCCATGGGCTGGTAGAAACTCCCCAGAACCACAAGTTCCTGCCAGTTCTCTTCCTGCCTATCAATCTAGCATCTGCTAGGTTCCACCAACATGACCACAGGCCCTGCTCGCAGACCTCTCTGCTTCAGATACGGCTCCCATGGCCTCCTATACAATCAAGGAACCCACTTGCTACATTCTGCTTGGCTGCTTTGAGAGCCTGGCTGAAGCAGTTAGCACTGATGGGGAAGAGCCCCTGCCTGTCTGGGGAACATGTCCCTGCTTGTTATCTATAGCAACTGGGAACCTTCATTCACACCTCTTATCCATGGCCTGCCTTTCAGCTGGCCTCAGCTATGAGACTTCTGTGCAGCAAGGACCACAGAAGCAGAAACCGCTTACCCTGGGGTTGACCAAAAGCAAAGGTTTGCACGTTGACTTCTAAGACATATCTTTGCACCTGTCGTGTGTATGGCTATGTTTAGATACTCCTCCAGGATTCCCAGACTTGATTCTCCAAATACTGCAGAGATGGTATCTGGAGCTCTTTGTTACCACAAATGAGAGGCATGGCCTCTCTCAAGCAAACACAGCAGGGCCATCACCCTACACAGACACCCTTAGGATCAGCTCCCCAGGCTACAGGCCCAGACAGAACTCTCACAGTGGTGTTCGCAGATTCCCAGGCTGTGCGGTAGAGCAGTGTTCCCTTCATCCTGTAGCAGAATGACTAGTAAACACCTTTCTCTGATTCCCAGAGACATAAAAAGCCTTCGAAAAAGAGATTCAATGTGGGGAGAATGGCTTTCTCTGAGAGTCTACTTAACCTCTGGGCTTGGGTTCTCTAACAGTATCCTAAGCTACTGTGTCAAACTGCCCTCCTGGGTATATGGTTTCAATCTTAATGGAAAAGAACATCATTACATTGCTAAAAGTTCACCCAATAAGAGGGCTTGACCTTAGATAGCTCTTCCTCATTTAAAATGATCATTCCTAACTTCCCAGAATTCAGGTGCATTTCCACTTGGAGCAAACTCACTCTGGTTTTTGTTCATCTAAACCTGTGATTATCGGCATGTGGCATTTAGGCTGTTATTGGCATGGGAGGATCAGGCCTAGAGATACCACTGCCCTGGTAACAGGGTTCAGTCTCCACAGGAAAAGCACACTTCAAGATGGCAGCCACGACAGACTGCAGGGATTCCCATAGTTCATCTGTCCACAGCTAATTTTCACCTTTTATTCACCATTAGATATTCAGAAGCCACCTTAAGTCACGAGTGACTTTGAAGTATCTTTCTCCTTCGAATAATTTTGAAAATACACACTTTAGGGAGTCCCTGGGCTGTCACTTTGCAGGCAAGTTGTAAGTAATGACTGTTAGCAGGGAACTCTGGGGAGAGACAGGGAGGCCATGGTAGTCAAGGATAGCAAGCGAATTCTCACATGAGACCTAAGCTCCACCGAGCGTGTCATTGGCAAGGGAGTTGACAGGAGGTATGCTCCTGTTCTGGTCATCAACGGGCAATGTCAAAATCTCACAGGGACATGGTGGCTAACTAGATATTCCTCACTTACACTCCCCTGTAAAGATAACACGGTGAGCCAGGACACTGATTCACCTTGAGGTGGCATGAGAAGCCCCAGCTGGGAGAGTGCAGATACAGTGTACTGGACATCCCATGTCCCACCTAGCGCCCATCCCCAGGGTAATGAGAGAGAAGGAAATCAACAGATGTGCTATCAGAGCAGCCACCCAGACCCCTCCCATCAGCAAGCAGCAGCCCGTAAGATCACGTGGTGACACTGACCACGAGGACTGCCTGATAGTGACAGGAAGCAGAGACATAGCTACGGGGCCAGGGAGCTCCCAGAAGGCCAGCAGATTCTCACTGGGGATGCCCCTGCCCATGGACAGAACTATAAATCCTGTGCAGATGTCTAAAGCAAGGCTGCAGGGAAAGATGTCCCTAAGGGCATGTTTGCCACTCCAGCCCAAGCTGTGAATTGAGGAAGGAGCAGTAGATAGAATCTGGTAGCAGACCCCCACAAAATCCACCCTAGGGACATGTAACAGGTGCCTCTTTAGACCTTAGTGGAGTCCAACAACAGGATCTGTCAACCTGTTTGTGGTAAGCACATGTCTAAGGAAGAGTTTTGGAAATAGAAATGTTGGCTGAGATTTTTTTTCCTCTAAGGGACTATTTTCTTTTATTCAAAAGCTGCTATTCAAATGACCTTGGCTTCTGTGTGCTGGAGGCAAGCATTCTAAACCACAGGGGAGGAATTGGTGAGAACTCTGATGTGTTAGCCAGCACACTGAACTTCATTCTTCTCCAACAGTATAAGTCTAAGCCCAGAGAACCAGGGTCGCTCGGGGTGAGACTGCTGTTGGAAGGAAGTAGCTGGTGCACATGTCCGTGCATTTAGGATCCCTCTGTGTGCACTTGCTGAATGTTGCTGTCACATTCTGAATCACCTCTGAAATAAACACTTTCACGGAAGAGACTGCAGCCAGCCCTGTGTGATTTGAGGCTTCCAGGCTCTCCTAGCTGTGTTGTTACCTGAAGGAGTGAGCAGCTGCAGCCACTCAGGAATTCACCCGCCATCTGCTGTCCTCACTGGGTCTGGTCCATGGAGACAACTGAAAAAGAGGGAAGCACGTTCATCGAATTGACTGTGCTCTAGAGGGTACGAAGAGCCAGAGAGCTGTCACAGTTGCACTGCCAGGGTCTTCCCCTCCCTCCTCTTCAGGCTAGAATTCTCCCCATTAACATAACCTATTGGGGGGGTCCTAACCACATCTCTGTATATAAGGATGCTCCTGTCTGTGAGTCTCTCAGAACCCCCACAGCAGAAAACCTGGGTACCAATCCAACAGCTATTCATTCTGATCGTTCCCTCTAGGCTCCATAGGCCTTTGCTAGGTACAGCAACGCCAGTCTCATGGTGAAGGTTGAAAACCTATGCATCAGGAAACAGAAGCCCAGCCTGGGATACAGCTCAGTGGAAGATATCATGCAAGGATGTGGGCCCAGTTCCCAGTGCTTGGGAGGGAAGAGGAGGGAGGGAAGGAGAGAGGAGAGAGAAGGGAGGGGGAGGGGGAAGGAAGGAGAAAGGGAGAGAGAGAAAGAAGAGAGGAGAGGAGAGGAAAGAGAAAAAGAACAAGAAAACAGAGGGCTCAATCCACAAAATGTCCAAAGGGGCTGTGAATTCTCATTACTTCAGCTTCCCACACATACCACCACATTTACTGGATACCCACTATGTTCCAGAATCAGGAGAAGACACTGTGGACTCAGTAGTGATCAAGTATGTCTTAGTCTACTCTAGTTGTTCTAACACCAATGCATCATCAGCCTGGATAACGCAGAAACAATGAAAATGTATTTCTCATTAAGCATGAGAAGATTCGGTGTCTACTAAGGGCCCATTCCTCATGAATGATAACTTCTATGCATTCTCACACCACAGAAGGGGCAGTCTAGCTTTCCCTCAGGCCTCCCACATAATATTGAAATTCCCATTCACGAGGGCTCCACCCTCATAATCCTCTTCTAAAGTCTACTTTCTAACACTATTACCTTGGGGATTAGGTTTCAACACACAAATCTGGGGGTGAAATAAACATTCAAACCCTAACAAAGATAATGAGATGCTGTCTCCATGGAACTTGTTTGATGTGGAGCACAGAGAGCAAGGGACATAAAAGGCACACAAATAAGAAAACGGAAGGTAACAATAAAACCCAACACAGCAGAGTGCCCACCCAGCCCTGGCTGCTGAGACTAGACCCAAGGACATAGGAGCTCACCAAACAAAGTGGACAGGCCCAGTCATTTGGGGCGGAAGGACAAAGGGGCAGGGAGGTGGGGTGTATATGTAAAGTCCTGAGATGAGGAGACAGGAGGACCTGTAGAATTGAGTGAAGACCAAGGTCACTGCGGTTCCACGAGAGAGGGGAAGCCCAGCCCATGCCTGTCTGGGGGAGGTCTTGGATGTCACCCCAAGGAGAGTTTATTGAAGAGTGGCCCAGTGTGCTGCAACTCTCATATGGAATATATGGATGTGGTGCCTCTGTCTCCAGAGGGCTGGGATCTCAGGTGGGCATTACCATACCTGAACAAAAGTACTTATTTAAGAGAACAAGAAGAACAAAACAGAAAACACTGTGAGTTACGGGCTGAGGAGATGAGTCAGAGGGGAAAGTGTATGTGTATGAGCACTGATTCAGAGCCCAGGTACCCACGCTAAAGGTTGGCCATGATGACACCCGCCTGCAATCCTGGCACCGGGAGGAAAGCAGTCAGGAGGATCCAAGGGTGTCACTGGCCAGTTAGTTTAGCCAGAGGTGAGCCAGAGGAAGACGCCCAAACTGACCTCTGGGCTCCTCGTTTGCATGCATGGATATTTGCACCCGAATATGTGTGTGCTCAAACACACACACACACACACACACACACACACACACACACACGCACTATTTTCAGTGCAAGAGGGGTCTTGGGGACTGGTCCCTCACTAATGAAGCTGTCTCTGATGCTTTCTCAAGCCATCCATCTAGGCCAAATTAATAAAACACCAAATGGAACAACCTGTAGGTATTCACTGACTGTCTCTGGGTTCCAAGCATCCTGAGAGGACCTAGGGAAACAACATGGAGTAAGACTCCATTTCCTTCTGTTGGGAGCTTCTGCTGAGCCCCACAGATGGCTGCATGCTGATTCCCCTGATGCATTTCGTTGACTGCTTTGTTTCCATTTAAAACATTTTAATAGATAAAGACAATTGTCTGTAAAATGCATAAATATACACATGACAAATTATTTTTTAAGACTCAGCACTTAGTGTTTTTTCCCTCTAAACTCAATCAAAAATTTACCAATACTAAGGATGCTAACACTCAGCACCAAAAGGTAAGACCACATCCAGACCAGTCTTCTGCCTGCTCCAAGTCTACCCTTGTGGAACATGCTGTGTCACTGTCCTCACTGTGACCCTGGGGAACAGCTTTGACCAGGATGTCCTGTCAAAGATGCTCTCAAAGACAGAGGCACCACCTGTAGAAAGTTATTCTGTCTCCTGGGGGTGGAGGGTCTGGGTTTCTCCTGGCTGAAGCATAGGCATTAGCAGGTCTTGGTCCTTCTCTTCCTGACCTTACATCTTTAGACACAGTTCTCAGGATGTTTCCATGTTCCAAGTTAAAGAAAAAAGGAAAGGAAAGGAAACACAACAAAACAAAACAAAGCAAAACCATGGCTATTTGTCTACAAATCTGGAAGGAGACACTGACCATCCTGGCTGGTCCAGATTTGGGTCTCCCTCCCTTTATTTGACCACATGGCCAAAGGCAAACAGCAGGAGACAACATTTCTCAGCTGGAAGCCCCTAGCCCAGGGATAGGATTTCTACAGACCTAGGAAGTTCAGGATTCATGTATTCATCATTCACTGAGCAGCCTTTCCTGCTGTACCCAGGCCAAGGAGTAAGGACATGTGGATCAAGCTCTGCACCAGGATAGGAGATCCTGATAGCCCCACAGAGGAGTCAGGAGTAAAGCCAATGAACTCATCAGTGTTAGGGCCTCCTTTTGCCCATCCAATGAATGAGAGAGAGTGTACACATGTGCTCACACTCACATACAGCCCCACAGCAATGCATACATGAAGTGTGTGTAACAGTGGTCTTGCCTAAGCACTGTTTGAGCGGAGTTCTGAAGGATGAGCAAGGCTGATAGGTAGGGATGATGTACCATGGAGAACCTAGAGAAAGATGCCCCTTGTTTAGGTGATCAATGCACAGGGACAGGGTGGCTGGAGGGAAAGTGCTGAGAGCAGCTGGAAGATAACAGCCTGGGTCACCAGGAGTCATTGTGATTGTCACCCTCAGAGCAATGGACTCCTCAGAGAGATCATTGTTTTCTAGTGACTAACATGCCTAAGCAAGGAGATGTATTGGAAATGACAGTGATGGTGAACTGAACTAAGGAGGCATTGGGGACAAGCAGATGTAAGTGGATTTTAGAACGTGTATGAAGCAGTTTGCAGAATTGTCCGGTGTGGGGTTGAGGAGAGTGATAGTGACACACCCTTGCACCTGGGCTCCCAAGTTACTGAGTTTAGTTGCCCTGGAATAGAATCTAGTTTGAGGTAGGAGTTTAGTTTCATATCAAACACTCAGAAGCAGGCATTTGCAAACATCTGTCTATATCTACATGGATGAGAGTCCTGAGATTGGGAGTCATCGGGATATAAGTGGGATTAAAATTGAATTCCCAGAGGAAATTGTCCTAGAAAGAAGTAGAATACAGATCTAGATGTCCCCAAGTGGCGGAGGCATGACCTGAAGAGAGCTCCTGCCGGCATGACATCAGCTGGAGAGAAAATGGGTCTGTGGAGTAAGCAGAAGAGGTCTTCTCCATACTGTGCATCACCTTCTAGAAATCTCCAAGAAGTTCAGATGGGAAGACCCTCTGGGTACCACCAAGAGACCTGCTGTTGCTAAGGCCTCTGTGATTCCAAAGGATACTGAGAAGGGAAGTATGGTCTGGAGTAAGCGTCCAAGTGCACATGACTTAAGGTAGTTCTGCTTTCCTAAGTAGACCATCATCTTTACAAGTTCCTATTCAGCGCCTCTTCCCACGCACCTCTTGGTCATGGGTTTTCCAAGAGAACCTACTCCTACTCCAGAGACTCCACCCACCCCTATCCAAGGCTCCACCTACTTTTAATCCCACAGGTTCCACCCACCCCTACCCCACAGGTTCCACCCACCCCTACCCCACAGGCTCCACCCACCCCTACCCCACAGGCTCCACGATGATGCCCACTCCTCCCTTCTGCATATAGCCTTGCTTCCTTCTCTGAGTCACATCGGAGCTGTTCTGACTTCTCCTAATTAGCTCTTCTTACATGGTAGCTTTGCGATTCCTTTCCATTTCCACTGCCCATTTAAAAGCTTTCTTATTTTCATTTCTGAAGCATCCCTTTAAACTCCCTGTCACCTCTTTGGTTTCTATTGTGAATCTGACATGCCGCTAGCTTAAAAGAGTACATTTCCATATTCTTCTTACAGATTTGCATTTCCATTTCATCTAGAGAGCAAACAGTGGAATCCTCAGAAAGAGCTGGTGGGCAGAGGGTATGTCAAATGGAACAGCTGGCTCCTTTGCAATGGAGATCTCAGAGGAAAAGTTAAGAAACTAGCCACAGGCAGAAAATGTTGAATCCTAAGTGTTGGTACAGCATTGCATCCCCACATTCACCCTATCCCTTACAGTACACTGACTGTGCCCAGAAGGGCTTATTGTGGAAGGTAATTCAGAAGCATGTTTGGTTACAGTTGATGTCCCAAATAGTTCCACTTTACTCATCTCATATGCTGAAGAGTAAGCTTTGTCTTCCGAGCGCATCCTTCCTGTCCTCCAAGCCCAGAACTACCCTGCCCTTTCCCTACTTAGGAAAGCAAAGGCAATTGCGCTTAAGGTTTCCGTAGTAACACACTCAACCAGGCTCCACAGAGGTGTCAACAGATGGCAACATTCTCAACCCTACAACATAGATGGCAAGTCACACTGTCCTCTGGGGGGCTCACAGCACCATTATTATTATTATTATTATTTTGGTTTTACGAGACAGGGTTTCTC